AATACCTGTATTTTTAATGAAGAAAATTCGCTTTAAAATTTTTTCATGTTTTAATTTATAAGAGCACTACATGCTCATTATTAAATACTAGTATAATATAGGAAATGATAAATGCAAATTAAAGCTATCTATGATTCTATAGGTGATTTTTTTCTGTATATATTTTTATATGCATTTATATGGTGCTCCGTAAAAGTTCCCAAAATGCACCTTTTCTATAATCTTTTATTAGTTATTAATTATTTAAATTAAATTACAGGGTCAACTTTTGATTTTTAACTTCTGAAAGCAAATGACTTATTTGTATTTTAGTACATAATGCCATTTGATATGCTTCAGTTGGGGCTCAATATACATACATTATTTAATTTCTTAATGCTATGTCTATATGGTCTCTAAAAATTAAAAACATTAACTCTAATTTAGTCCATACCTTGCCCTATGTTGTATTGCAATCAGTATGCCTGGTTCTGTCTTCAGGGTAAAGACAGAACATATCCACAATCCCCGGGAATGGAACAAAATGGTAGCCAACTCTAAAACATGCTTTGAGAAGGAGCATCTATCTCAGTCACTATAATTACTAGTAGGTGCATTCTATCATAAGTAAGTCATCACTAAATCCTTTCTTACTTTCCTTTCCCTTTCCCATGCTTTTGACTCTGAAAGAGACTGGCCACACATTAGGCATGGGGAAGAATGAGAGGACACTGCGCACTGTTTTACAAAAAGTATTTGACAAAATGAAACCATTTTTTATTTTTAAAAAGTCTTTAAGTAAACATTTTTATTGGATTTGAACACTAAATTTTATTTTGTGCTTTGATGTCCTGGTAACTTACAGCTATTTAAAACTCTCCTCTGGCCACATTCCCTTGGGTATAATGTAGGCACTTTATGCCCCGTGAATCCTAACTCAATCATCACCTCTCCCAGACAGTAGGCTCCTCCTCTAGGCATTCCTTTCTTGGTGAATGGTTCCAATAGCCAACCAAACCAAATGTATAAGCCCAAACTTTGGCAGTCATTCTCTAGTCTTCCACATTCCACTTTCACTTCCCATATTTAATTGGTAACCATGGTCTACAGACTCTACCTTTATGCTTCTCTCATGGCCATGCCATCCAAACCATTGCCTTTACCATGGTGCCGGCACTCATTGCTTCTCTGGTGGGCTCCTGGAAGAGCCTTCTTATTGCTTTCTCTGCTGCTGGTCTTATCATCGGCCCCACTCATCCAACACAGCTGCCCAGTATGCCCTCTAATGTACAAGTCTGTTTGTAGACATCAGTGGATCGCTGTAGCATGTGGGATAATGTCAGATTCCTTTGCTTAGCACAGAAAGGCCCTCATATCTGGCCTGTTTCCCTCTCTGGCCTCACTTCCCACTACCTGCTCTTGGGCACTCTTTTCTCCAGTTATATATTTTCACTGTCCTAAAAACAAAAGCAGTTTCCCCTTTATGTCTTCTTATACGGGGTTGCCCTCTGCCAGACATATTCTTTTCCTTTTTTCCCCCTCTCACTTTTCCGTGTCTTGTCTTTTTTATTCACTTCTTTTAAAAATCTTTCTCCAGACAAGCACATGATTTTGATGCCTCTTCACTGTGATTGCTGTACTATTTGTGTGCTTACATCATGCCAGTTAACACACTGTATTTTAATTGTTTACATGCCTTTCTCTTCCACTAGACCAGTGGGCCTCAAAATGACCAGCAATATCAGCAGCATCATTGGGGAATTTGTTAGAAATGCAAATTCTCAGGCTGCACCCCAGATCATAAGTTCTGGGGCTGAGACCCAGCAATTTGCGTCAAGAGTACATCATTTAATATTTTGTGATGGGAAAAGACTGGCAGGCCATGGTGGGTAGCATGCCTGGGAATGATTTGGAAGAAGATGCATGAATGCTGCATGAATACTGTCCTCTGTGCCAGCTTTTCTTAAATAGACCAACAACATTAAAGAAGTCCAGAATGCCCAGAAGCATTTCAACACTTGCATTCATTTGCTGCTATAGTAAATTACCACAAATTTAGTGGCTTAAAACTATAAGAGTTAATTATCCTACAACTGTGGAGGTCAGAAGTCTGAAGTAGGTCTCACTGGGCTAACATGAAGGTGTTGGCAAGGCTGAGTTCCTCCTGGAGGCTTACTGAGGGGAGGACCTCTTTCTGAGCTTTTCCCAGCTTCTAGAGGCTGCTTACATTCCTTGGCTCATGGCCTCTTCCTCTATCTTCAAAGCTGGCAATGGCAGGTTGAATCTTTTTCATGGTGCCATCTCTCTGCTTCTGACTTTTCTGCCTCCTCTTCTCTAGTCAAGGACCTGTGTGATTACATTGGATTCACCTGGATAATCCAAGCTAATCTCCCTATTTTAAGGTCAGTTGACTAGCAAACTTAATTTCCTCTTGCTATGTAACATAACATATACTCAGATTCCAGGGATTAGGATGTGGACTTTTATGGAGGGTGGAGAGGGATATTATTCTGCCAACCACAAAATTTATTCTTGACTTTTGGAGATTTGATTAAAATTGATATCGCCTTTTGCCTTAACTCACAAGCTCTTTGGAGAAATCTAGGATTCCCTTTTTTCATTGTCTTTCCTTGTGAAGAAAATGGTTTGAAAACTTTGTGGTGATTTAGCACATTTTATTGAAAAGGGGATCCCTGCCCCCAGGACTTACAGTTGTGGCTAATATGAGAGAAGGACCAGTCCAACATGGACAAGTTTGGAACTACATTGGGCAGTACCGAAGTGTATTTGTGGATAGTGCACCAGTGACACCATGAGAAAAAGTAAATTGCAATCGAACAAGCTTGCTATCATTTATTATCCTTAAACAATGGTTTTATCCATTTTCTGGTGAGAAAATAAGAGAATCCCTCTAAATCTGTTTGTGACTAGGCATGCCTAATATTTATAGTTGTCCTGTTTGTACAATATGCTTAAGTTTATTCTGCACTGTGAATTCAATACTTAATTTTCAAATTAAGTGCAAGACTACCTATCTCAAGCTGAGTTTATTCTGTACTGTGAATTCAATACTTGAGTTTTAAAAAAATATTTACTAATCCTGAATTGAAAGCTCCCTTCAGGTATTGTTAAGGAGAACAATGTGTACTAGGTAGAATATATCTGACATTTTTACTTACTATCTTACATCAAAATAGAAAGCCCTGGCAAACAGTACCTTTAGCCAAAGCAGCAGAGGCCAGAACAAAATTTCTTTCAGTTTAAGCATGTTGAAGGTAATAAAGACTGTGATTTTAGTTGAAGGAAGAGAAGTTATGAGAAAATTACCTGGCAATCTAAGCACATACTGTCAAATTATTTACCTTATATGGCTTTTATTTTAGGGCAATACATTGTTATGTTCTGATCTTGAGGGTAACTTTTTGGCTTTATTTTGCATGTGTTATTAGAACCAAACATGATCACCCAGAAGTTTAGGAGCCACTGGGGTTGTGGATTCACTCTGGAAGTATAATGCATCTGTAATAACACAGTGCAACAATGACCTATGAAGCTAAGAAGTGTTTCCTTGGGTTCAACCCTTGGACCACTTGGCTAAACAAGAACACAGATTTAGGAGAGTGGTGTAAGAGGACATTGATTTTTCACATTCCTATAGTCCTTTCACAAAGAGAATGTGTAGGACATGTTTTCTTTTGACAGACCAGCTTTCATTCCCTTTGTTCATGAATCTGTCTCAGAGAAGAAGTTTACACTTCTAAGAAATGACTTTGTTCCCCCCACCAGGCTCCAAATAGAAACTTTTCAAGGCCACATTTGCTGTGAGAGATATTTATCATGGAAGTTAAGTAACTTATGATTTAATTCAAGTGTCCTCTCAGCATTGAGAATAGGTTATTTTCTCCAGGAGGTCCCAGCAGGTTCCTGTTTTCAAGAAATTGAAAAGAAATATATTGCTTTCAACAGCCCCCAAATCAATACCACTTCAAATATAGATGGGACCAAGTTTCTCATACTTCTTATGTGGACTGAACAATGGTGCTGATCTGAAGTCCTGTGTGATCATAATACTTAGACTAAAGCCATTGTACTCTGTGGTATGATTGTGGCTCTTCCCTTTCCATTCGAGATTCAAGTGATCAACCCTTGTGCACACCACACAGCAATGATGGTCTCTCATCCATCCATCTTCAGAAACTCCCCTAGAGAGCAGGTTGAGGATCAGACCATTTAAACATCAAAATGTATTTTGTTTTCTTCACCTTTTAAAAAGCAACATAGGGAGAATCTTAGCTAGGCAGTGCTTTTTTGACTAAATAATATGTGTAATAAATATGGTAATTAGCTGGAACCTCCTTTATAGCAGAATACCAGCATTTTATTTATCTTCCCATCTTCCTCAGAATCCAACTGTGGCTTTCACAGAAAAGCTCAATATATGCCTATTAAATAAATGAATCAATAACTTCACACACCAATGCTATAAACATGTCCACTTCTTTCTGTACTTGACATGTAGATTTTTGGTGCTGGGAGAAGGACCTTGATTCTTTTGTATAGTTTCCATTTTTCTACTGCACATCTGAAAACTGCTTTTTATCTCTTTGAATTTGGTGAGCATGTTTATTTTAAAGTGTTCATCTGATAACTGCAATATCCTTCCTTGTTATTCTTTTTTCTATGGTTATTCCCCTACTGGTGCTAATTCATGTTATTTTATCTCTGGCCTGTCTGCCTCTGTTGGCATGTTGGACCTGGGATTTGAAAAATTGTTGGTAGAAATAATCTCAGCCCAAGATGATGCTATTTTCCTCCTAAGAGGATTCTCATTTGCTTCTGCCAGATGCCCAAAGGCACTAGCAATCTTGATCACCTCTGTTCAGTTTCAGGGACTGAGAGGATTAGACCTACAATCCCTGAAATAGCTCATGTATTTCCAGTTCACACAAATCTTAGGATGCAGACTTTTTGAGATCCAAGTCAAAATGAGGAAGGTTAACCAGCGCCCCTCCACCACTCACCTCTTGGTGGCTTCCAATGTCACTGGCCACTGTCTGCTCCTTTAGCTTCACCAGGTTGACTGAATTACTGCTTAGCCTCTCAGATGTCCCCTCCAGGACCATTAAACGCCCCTAGAAGTAGAGTGTAAACACAGGGTTCATTTCTCAGGGCATCCATTCTCCCCTATGTTTTGTCCAGGTAATACTTCTCTATCTTCTTATAAGGCCCTTAAGCAGATTTAAAAATATTTTGTAATACTTTTCTAGTTGTTCTTAGTGAGAAGGTGTAACCAAATTACCTAATCTGCTATTAGTAGAAGTCCACTCATCTTAATTTTTATTATAGTCCTTATATATATAGATCTTTAAAACATTCTTCATTGTCCATTGGCCCATTTTATTTCCTGTTTGTGAGTCTATTCTGCTAAATAGAAATGTTCATGTATTTGTTTTGGTGGCTAGCTGCTTTTAATCTTGTTTCTTCAGAAAGTATCTATTAATCTCTTATTTTGAGAAATGATAAAATCAGTATGCTTCTTTCTTACCCCACTCTACCACTTGATTTAACCTGATTGTATTTAATTTCTTAATATTTATTATGACACTGTTAAATGTATTTCTATTATTTCATTTGTCAGTTTGAAACAGTATTGACATACAGCTATTGAAAAGGACAGAATGAGCCGGGCACAGTGGCTGACACCTGTAATCCCAACACTTTAGGAGGCCGAGGCAGGTGGATCACTTGAGGTCAGGAGCTCGAGAACAGCCTGGCCAATGTGCCGAAATTCTGTCTCTACTAAAAATACAAAAATTACCAGGCATGGTGGTGAGCGCCTGTAATCCCAGCTACTCAGGAGGCTGAGGCAGGAGAATCACTTGAACCTGGGAGGCAGAGATTGCAGTGAGCCAAGATCATGCCATTGCAATCCAGCCTGGGTGACAGAGTGAGACTCTGTCTCAAAAAAAAAAAAAAAAAAAAAAAGAACAGAACAGGACAGGACAGAATGTAATACATATATGGAGTAAAAGAAAAACAATATATTGGGAAAAATACCTCTTTGCAGACAGCCCCTTCTCTACTGTGCTGCCTGTTGCAACCTTGTACCATATTTTCATACCTTCTCTAATAAATCTGCCTTTTTTTACATACAACTGTCTTAGTAAATTCCTTTACTGCCCATGACACCAGCCCATATAGTCACACCTGTGACATTTTCTATAAGAGAAACATGAATTTAAGGACACAAAAAGTTAAAATTAAAATTATGCAAAAAAGATATACCATGCAAACAATAACCAAAAGAAAGCCAATGCTCTTATTCTAATACCAAACAAAGTAGATATTAAGGCAAAAGCAATATTTGAAACCAAGAAAGGTATTTTGTAACAATAAAAGAGCTAATATACCAGGAAGGTATTAAAAGAAGCCAATAATGTTGCTTCAAAATATTTAAAGTAAAAATTGGCAGAACTGAGGGGAGAAATAGACACACCTATAGTTTTAGTAAAAGGATTACATTTAATTGGCCACTATGTAGTATAAAAATTAGACCTTCAAAAGTACTATTTTACTTTAAAGCATTTTCCCAATATATTGCTTTTCCAAAAACTAAGTCTTGAATTAATCAGTTCTGTTGTTAATGCTGTTTTCAGGATTGTTCTCTATACATTTATTCTTACCTTTCCCATCTTTGGATTTCACTGGAGTTATTTTTGCCTTTTTCTTATGATGAAACCAATCTGGCTAGTTTGACTGATTTGTCTCAGTGTGGCTTCCTGTATTACAATCACTTTCATTTCTAATAAATGGTAACAACCAGTACCCATGGTTATAACAGCTAACACTTACAAACTACCCACTGTGAACTATTTTAAGTGTTTTACATACATTAACTCATTTAATTACCACAACACATTTTTTTACGTAAGTATAATTATCAACTCCATTTTAGAGATAAGGGAACTGAGGCATAGAAAGTAACTAACTTACCCAAAGTTACATAGCTAATAAGTAGCAGGGTTGGGATTCAACCTCTGACAGTCTGGCTTCACAGGGTGAGGCATTAACTGCTCTGATATCACCTTACCCCTTCCAATGATTCAGACTCTCAAATTTTCCTCTCTGAGCACAATATCTTCACTTATACATCCCCTGATATGGTTTGGCTCTGTGTCCCCCATCCACATCTCATTTCAAATTGTAATCCCCACCTGTCAAAGGCGGTAGATGATTGGATCATGGGGGTGGTTCCCCCATGGTGTTCTCATGATAGTGAGTGAGTTCTCATGAGATCTGATGGTTTTATAAGGGGCTCTTCCCCCTTTCTCTCTCTCTCTCTCTGTCACGCACCTGCCACCATGTAAGAAGTGCCCACTTCCCCTTCTGCCATGATTGTAAATTTCCTGAGGCCTCCCCAGCCGTGTGTAACAGTGAGTCAGTTAAACCTCTTTCCTTTATAAACTACTCAGTCTCAGGTATGTCTTTATAAAGTAAAGACAGAAAATTGGTACTGAGGTAGTGAGGTACTGCTATAAAGATACCCAAAATGTAGAAGCAACTTTGGAACTGGGTAACGGGCAGAGGTTGCAACACTTTGAAGGGCTCAGAAGAACACAGGAAGACGTGGGGAAGTTTGGGATTTCCTAGAGACTTGTTGAATGGTTTTAACTAAAATGCTGATAGTGATGGGGACAATGAAGTCCAGGCTGAGGTGGTCTCAGATGGAGATGAGGAACTTATTAGGAACTGGGGCAAAGGTCACTCTTGCTATGCTTTAGTGAAGAGACTGGGGGCACTTTGCCCCTGCCCTAGAGATCTGTGGAACTTTGAACTTGAGAGAGATGATTTAGGGTATCTGGTAGAAGAAATTTCTAAGTGGCAGAGCATTCAAGAGGATGCAGAGCATTAAAGTTTGGAAAAGTTGCAGCCTGACCATGAGGTAGAAAAGAAAAACCCATTTTCTAGGGAGAAATTCAAGCTGGCTGCAGAAATGTGCATAAGTAATAAGGAAACAAATGTTAATAGCCAAGACAATGAGGAAAATGTCTCCAGGGCATATCAGAGACCTTCAGAACAGCCCCTCCCATCACAGACCCAGAGGCCTAGGAGGGAAAAATGATTTGGTGGGCCTGGCCCAGGGACGCCCTTGCTCTGTGCAGCCTTGGGACTTGCTTCCCTGTGTCCCAGCTGCTCCAGCTCCAGCCATGGCTAAAAGGGGCAAAAGTACAGCTCGGGCCATTGCTTCAGAGGGTGTACGCCCCAAGCCTTCCACATGGTGTTGGGTCTGTGGGTACATAGACAAGAAATGAGGTTTGGGAACCTCCACCTAGATTTCAGAGGATGTATGGAAACACCTGGATGTCCAGGCAGAAGTCTACTACAGGGGTGGAGCTCTCATGGACACCCTCTGCTAGGGCAGTGTGGATGGGAAATATGGGGTTGGAGCCCCCACGCAGAGTCCCCACTGGGGCACTGCCAAGTGGAGCTGTGAGAAGAAGGCCACCATCCTCCAGACCCCAGGATGGTAGATCCACCAACAGCTTGCACCTTGTGCCTGGAAAAGCTGCAGGCACTCAATGCCAGCCCATGAATGAGCCTACTCCTTGCATAAGTGTGCCACAGATATAAGACATGGAGTCAAAGGAGAATATTTTGGATCTTTAAGATGTAATGATTGCCTTGCTGGATTTTGGACTTACATGGGGCCTGTAGCCCCTTTGTTTTGGCCAATTTCTCCCATTTGGAATGAGTGTATTTACCCAATGCCTGTACCCCCACTGTATCTAGGAAGTAACTAACTTGCTTTTGATTTTACATGCTCATAGGCAGAAGGCACTTGCTTGTCTCAGATGAGACTTTGGACTGTGGACTTTTGAATTAATTCTGAAATGAGTTAAGATTTTGGGGGACTGCTGGGAAAGCATGATTGGCTTTTAACTGTGAAAAGGCGTGAGATTTAGGAGAAGCCAGGGGCAGAACGATAAGGTTTGGTTCTGTGTCTCCACCCAAATCTCATCTAGAATTGTAATCCCCATGTGTCAAGGGAGGGACCTGTAATCCCTATGGGTCAAGGGAGGAAAGTGATTGAATAATGGGGGAAGTTTCCCCTCTGGTGCTCTCATGGTAGTGAGTGAGTTTTCACAAGATATGATGGTTTTACAAGGGGCTTTTGCCCCTTCACATGATCTCTCTCTCTCTCCGTCCCAACTGCTGCCATGTAAGGCATGCCTGCTTCTCCTTCTGCCAAAAGTTTCCTGAGACCTCCCCAGCCATGTGGAACTGTGAGTCAATTAAATCTCTTCCCTTTATAAAGTACCCAGTCTCAGGTATGTCTTTATAGCAGTGTGAGAATGGACTAGTACACCCCTCTGCACCAAAATTTGGTTCTCAGCCCCTTCCTCAGGTATAAGTCTAGTAACTTCCTCCAAGATCTCCTCACCTCCTAACCCAGCCTGAATCTGAGGCTATCTTAAGTTAAAAATTAATTTTATGGGTTCCTTGATCATTTGGCCCTCTCAAACCTCAGCTCTTTGCCCAAACTGCCTCTATGTGTATTAACTCTAGCTGGCTAAGCCCCATTGGAGACAATCATAAGCCTACCAAGATGAGCCTCCTTACAGATGATGCTTGTCAACCTCATGTAGATCCTCCTTACTCTGACAGTTATCTGTTTTCCACTGTTTACTCACTTTCCCATTTCCCTTCTGTGACCTTTCTAAACATTTGTCTCTCTCATTAAAATTTCTGCCTAATCCAGCCTCCTACAGATTTAGCAGATAACCCCGATTCCTATATCCTGAGGCAAAAAACTTCTGAATTGAGCTTTCTAATTTCCCATTTCTCCTCCAGAAAACCTATCTGTTGTGTCATTTTTTTTTCTTCTTTTCTCTCATATTTATCAATTTCCTCCCTTCCTCCCACGCTTGCTCTCTTTTCCCTCTCTTCTTTCCTTCCCTCCATGAGTATTTGTTGAGTATATGCAAGGCATAGGTCTAGGTTCTGTGGATACCACAGTGAATATAACAGAATTCCTGCTCTCCTGTAGCTCACAGTCTAGCAGGGCAGACAATTGAGAAACAAATCAATGTATATCATCTCAGGCAAAGATGAGAGCTTTGAAAATAAATGAAGTAGGATAAAGGAGATAGAGAATCCTGGGGGAGAGTGCTTTATTTCTATATTTGATGATAGTCAGGGAAAGCCTCCTATGAATAAGCCTTGAAGGTTAGGCAGCCAGATTTAGCAAATAAAAAGATGGGATCCAGTTAAAATAAAAAATATAAAAAGTCCAGTTAAATTTGAATACCAGGTAACCAGTAATGTTTAGTATAAATATGTCTCATGCAATACTGAAAAATTATTGTTTATCTGCAATTTGAATTTGACTGGATGTCCTGATTTTTATCTGGCAATCCTCTGAAGGAACTATGGTGACAAACCATTCATAAATCCAGAGGATGAGGTTTCAGGCAGAGGGAATGTTTTGGGGATATTAATTTTATGTCTGCAATTGTGTTAGGCACTGTGGATACAGAAAATCAATACAATGGTATTTTGTCTCCTAACTGGTCTTGCTGTGTCACTCCTCTCTCTCTCCTCTAGTCCATTTCTATACACAGCAGTTAGAGTGAGCCTTTGAAAATACAAATCATGTACCTTCTCTGCTCAAAACCCTCAATGGCTTCCTGTCTCAGAGTAAAAGCTGGAGTCCTTAAAATGGACTTCAAAGACCTAGGTCAGTGGCAATCATATACATCCATTATCTGGAGCTCTTTAAAACATTCCATGCCTGGATCCCATTTCCAGATTCTGATTAAACTTGCTTGTGCTGCAGGATGGAATTCAGGCTTTTTCAGCTTCCAAGGTGATTCTATACTGTACTGGGGGGTTTGAGACCCTCTGCCTCACATGACCTCATACTCCTTCTGCCTCCCCAGCTCCAGCTCTGGCAGCTCCGCACCAGCTCCCTCCACTGCAGCCCCGCGGCCCCATATTCTTCCCCAACATTCTTCAGTGGTGCTGTTGCCTGGAATGCTACTTTCAGAATAGCTACAGGGCCCCTTCCTCCACATTCATGGGGTCTCTGCTCAAGCATCACTTTACCAGCAAAGCCTTTCCAGATCTTCCTCACCCTTCATGCTGGTGCCCCATTCTCTCTCTTTCTGCTTAATTATTACCCATAGTTCTCAAGATGACTTTTCCTGTTGTATATTTGTGTCACTGTTTATGCCTGTCTCCCCACACTCTAGTGTAAGCCCTATGAAAGCAGAGTACTCTATTTAGTTCACTAATTTAGTGCCTATGTACAGTGCCTGGTACATAGGTTGAGCTCAGCAAGTATAGGTTCATGGAGGAGTTCAGAGTCTATAGGGAAATTTAGACTCATAAACAATTAATTGTAACACAACAGGGTATATCATAATTAGAAAGTTTTAAACAGAATTCCCTAGGGACTAGAATGCTTTTGATTCCTGATTCCACCCCTTCCCCTCCCTCGAGGATGTTGTTTCCCAACTTTACCTTTAAACATTTTGCTCTCCACAGCCTCCATCTGCAAACCCAATCAAGCCCTCCTCTCCCCAACGCCCCTCAAAAGCTACCATTTAGTGAGTATGCTAGGCATTGTATTAAGTACATTATGGACATCATCTCATTTAACTCACAATTCTGGGGTAGATATTAGTATTATCCCCTGATATAGTTTGAATGTCTGTACCCACCCAAATGTCATATTGAAATATAATTCCCAATGTTGGAGGTAGGGCCTAGTGGGAGGTAACTGGATCATGGGGGCAGATTTCTCATGAATAGTTTAACACCATCCCCTTGGTACTGTCCCCACGATAGTAAGTGAGCTCTGCTGAGATCGGGTTGTTTACAAGTGTGTGGCACTTCCCCCCTTTCTGGCCCCTGCTCTAGCCATGTGACGTGAATGCACCCTCTTTGCCTTCTGCTATGACTGTAGGTTTCCTGAGGCCTCCCTGAAGCTAAGCAGATGCCAGCACCACACTTCCTCTATAGCCTGCAGAACCATAAAGCACTTAAACCTCTTTTCTTTATAAATTACCCAGTCTCAGGTATTTACTTATAGCAATGTAAGAACTGACTAATATATCCTCATTTTACAGATGAAGAAACTGAGGCCCAGAGAAGTTAGGAAACTTGGTGAAAGCAAGATGTGTCTCACTTCAAAGCCTGCGCTCGCAATCACTGTGTTCTTTATGGTTTCTACACCTGGCCTCTCCTTTGTCAGTCCCAGCTTCATTTGACCTGCATGCTGCTCTCCAGGACTCCTTCTGGCTAGATATATGGCTGTTCTTCTCCCTTCCCTTCACCTCATTGTCCAAGGGCCCTTCAATGTCTAGGCCAATCATGCAAGGGTGTAAGGTGGGTGAGAGGAGAGTTGTTAACTAACCTGGTAGGTCGGACATGGCTGCTGGACTCTTTCATTATTCCTTGAGATGCTTTGCTGTCATCACATCCTCTGGTTTGAGGCAACACCCCACAATGCCTTGGTCTTCATGTCTTCCCAACCCATGAGATGCTGTGTTTCTCCTCGACGTTTTGGGCAACCATCAAACATCCAAACGTCAGAGCTGATCCCAAGGGAGCAGAGTGGAGGCTTCTGGCTTTCTTACATATGCATTTAGTAAGGGGCAGCTTTTTTGACTTTCTCTTTAGTGTGGATTCCTTTTCAACATACCAGTTCCTTCCTGGGTGGTGTGAGGACCTCAGATGTGCATATGCCCTTATCACATCACCTTCTGAGGCCACCTTCTTTCTGAGGCATGTTGCCGGAAAAATTATGATGGTGTCATTCATACTGATCCTGATTAATATTTGGACTTTCATTTTTTTGCCTCATTTCAAATCATGGTATTTTGGCTACATATTTGAAACTCTTGCAAATTTTATTGATCAGCTTTTGAAACTGGTTTGGAATTTAATTTTGTTTCCAGTTGCTTTCAGTACTGCAGTGGAGGCTGTGGAGGTCACTGCAGATGGTTCTGGTATCTACCACCAGGTTTCCGTGTCTGTTGGAGGTGGAGGTATTCTCTGGCAGTTGGTGTCTCCTAGGCCTCTGTGCAGGGCAGGCTGCAAGTGCCTGGGAGTTAATGCATGGGAACCATTCTCAACCTACCAGGGAAAGGAATAGGTAGATAAGTGCCCCAGTTTCCTTGCTGTCAGACAATTCTGAGGCGTGTTCTTAGATGGTCTCCAGTGACCAATTGCCCACAGCACTAACCACCTTATTAATGCATTGCTGGCTTTTCCCCCTTTTCTGTTTCACTCCCCTTTACCTCCTTAGAATGCTTCCTGGGATCACTTCTCAAATAAACTATTGGTACCCAAATCCTTGACTCAGGGCCTGCTTCTGGAAGATCCCAGACTGACACAATATACATTTTGATTTTTCCTGTAAGGAGCAGAAAACAAAATTCCCCAATCCACCATCAGCACCTTCCCAGTTGTTACTTAAATTGGGCAAACTGATCTGGCCCGCAGACAACTTCTCCTTCTGCTTTGACTACCAACTAAACACCTCCCTGCACACACCAGCCTTCCTTTCGACCACTGAGGTTCTAGCTGTTTTCACAAATTTCCTTTTATAACTGTTTTGAAAGTAAATTTGGGTCTATTTGATTATATTAGCCGCCCATTTGATTCATAAAGATGGATAAAATTTTTGGTTTGACCAGTGCAATCTGAGGATGCTGTTGCCTAGGTAACAGCCTGGGTGGGTGTGGAATTAAGGATAATAGGCCTAATGCTACATATGAAAAGAGAACAGATTGCCTGGTAGAAGGAGGTGCATTAGATTTCTCAAGCAACTTAAGATGCCATTTAGTTCACTGGAAGAGGCCATTTTCTAGGCAGTTAGAGGAGTAAATGACTCAGTAAGAGATGCTGTTTGACAGTTGGGATTTCTGTAAGGGGATTTTCTGTCATCTTATTCCAACTTCTTCCAGTTCAATGTAGTTGTGGGGGAAGCAATCATGTACATACATGCACATATATAGGGAAAATACTGAGAAAGAAAGACAAACATACCAGTGCCTGCCCATGTAGGTCACTCCTCCATATTCCATTGGATAGAAAAGATTTCTATACAAAGGCAAATAGATGAAATCTCAATTCTGTCTTTCAGCCCAGGGATAGCAGTTGAATCAATATTCTGCACTTCTAGGAGGAAACGAAGAGCATTAATGCTGTGGATTTAGCTAAATGTGTATATATATCAGGATTTGTTGAGCTTCCTGGCCCTGGTGGCACAAAAGCAGCACCATATTACTTAGTGCTTCATGGCTAGCTTGAAATGTGATGAAGATTTGTCCAGCCAGGCTCCACACCCCCAAAAATCTCCTGGCTGTGTCATTTGCTCATTTGCCTTTAAAGGTGCTTGCATAACAGCAAGTACCCTACATGGGATTCCATGACACTGAAACACAGTGGAACTGGATTTTGTAGAAGATTGCTGTTTTCCAGAGACTTCAAAGCATCCCTCGAAATCTGAGGTGTTGGTGCTGCAATCTGAAGATATCATAAGCAAACAGGATCAGGGATTAAAATTTCAAAGACAGCATCTCCTAATATCTGATAACAATTTCGATTATCAGAGCTTGGATAATGTTAGCATCACTTCAGGGTTTTTGTATCTAAAATGATAATGTCATTCCAACCATAAATGCTCTTCCCTCTCCTGTCTCATCATTGGTGACCTTCTTCATCATATTCAGCCTCTCCATTAACCTTGCCTGGAGAGTAAAACCTAAATCCTATTTTTGTACTTTTTCCTAATGTCTTAATTTGCATGGCATTGCTTCAAGGTTTTAGTATGGTGCATTGCAAGGATTTTTCAGGATGGTCACCAACAAACATGCTGGCATTATAAGAAAATGGTTTGGTTCAATTTTTTAAAAAAATCTGTTCAGAGAAAAAAATGTATGTATGTCAGCATTTTATTTTAACTACTTGATGGAAATCTTTAATAATGTATTTCCATCTTCTTTTATTCCTTCACCCCAGAATTCTGAATGTGGTCTAAATGTTTTGGATGATTTAGGATCATCATGCATCATGCAATGATGGTTGTGCTAAGTTTTCAGGCCCTACTGAACGAATCAAGGGGCTTTGATTCTCTAAATGGCCTACCACTACTGTATCTTTTGAATACTATTATACTTGAGTTTCTCTTTTTAAGTTTCTCTTTTCTCTCTGTCTATTCCCCTACTCAGTGTGCCTGCCAATTATCTCCACCCCCACACCATTTCAAACTTACAGCTGTTAATCTTTTTTTAATATGGCAATGAGACAACTAAGTTGGCTGGAGCAGCAGGTAAAGTTAGAACACATACACTCTTAAGGACCTGAGGCCCCTTTCTATGACTAAAGTGTATTAGCTTTGTGCATGAATTTGACACATTTTGGTTGCTCAGAAATTTGTATTCTTGTAATTTAGTGACTATATTGTGTATGAATTACCTAAATAGGTAATTACACACCAGAGAATTGTGACCATATTCTGTGTGTGTGCTTTTTTTCCCCAGGACATCCCTCATAGATTATTTACTATGAATTTAGAGACCATGATACCATTTCCTTCCAGTGCTTCAGTAATCGGCTCTCCATTGCATTTCCTTCTCTCTCAAGCATTAATGCTCACCAAACCCTCCACATCTGGTTCACTAAATGGGAGGCTTCTATGGTTCTGATAGGAAGTTCAGAGGGTGTGGCTGACAGAGTATTGTATACCAAGGCAGGCTCATACTTTGCAGATGTTTTGGTTGCATTGGCAAATACACTTGAAAGTGGGAATGTCATGAATTTTCTGGTCGGGTTTTAGAACCTCATCTGCCTTGAGGGCCCAAGACTTTTTTGGGATTTCTTGGGCAATGATTAGGCTGATTATTTTGTTGGACAAAGAAAAAGCCAAACTCCACACTTGTTCTATGTCTGTATTTCTACTTCTAAGTGTCTTTGTTCATTTAAGTTAAATCTATCTTCAGAACTGTAGAATTTTATATAAAAGGCTTTGGAGTTCTTCTTCCCCAATGAGTATAGTTTGTAGATGATGACACAGGAGTTCTGAGGTTCAATGATCCAATCAAGTTCCATCCCCTAGTTAATTAGTGACAGTGACAAGACGGAACTTGGCCCCCTGATTAGTTATCTAGTTTATTTTATTTTATTTACATTTTAGTCACACTGACCCTTCCTTGTGAATTTTAAATGTTATAGAGGTAGACACATACTTGCAAAGAGCATACTGGCTTTATTGTGATGAGTGTTCTTCATTGGCTATGGAATGGTGAGAGCACCCCCACTCACCACACTGCAAATTCCTGATTGATTTAATCAAGGATTGGAAACTTCACAGAAGAGAGGGGGATGCAGGTATAGAAAGAAGAGCAGGTGCAGGGGACCACAGCAGAGCAGCCTTTGATACCTCTGATCCTGAGACACATTTGGTCCTGCTAGCTTTTGAGTGCTTCCTTTTGTGCTATGCCTGAGTCTTTTTTTTTTTTTTTTTTTTTTTTTTTTGAGACGGAGTCTCGCTCTGTCGCCCAGGCTGGAGTGCAGTGGCCGGATCTCAGCTCACTGCAAGCTCCGCCTCCCGGGTTCACGCCATTCTCCTGCCTCAGCCTCCTGAGTAGCTGGGACTACAGGCGCCCGCCACCTCGCCCAGCTAGTTTTTTTGTGTTTTTTTTAGTAGAGACGGGGTTTCACCGTGTTAGCCAGGATGGTCTCGATCTCCTGACCTCGTGATCCACCCGTCTCGGCCTCCCAAAGTGCTGGGATTACAGGCTTGAGCCACCGCGCCCGGCCGTGCCTGAGTCTTTTATAACTGGCTAATGTGACCATCCAGGAAGAATTTCCACAAACAACGTATACCCTTAACAGGAAACAGTGACAAGCATCTGAGCCCTTCCTGGATCTTGAATCAAATTCAGGGTCAGCAGGCTGCATCCTCAACGTGAAGAGAAGAAAGATTCAGGATCCAGGCCATGTAGCATTGTGGTAAAGCACATAGAATTGGAGGCTAGACTCTCTGAGTTTGTTTCTCATCTGCCACTCAAACACTGAGAAACCAGGGGAAAGTTATGTTTAACCTTTCAGCACCTCAGTTTCCCCACCTACAAAATGAAGATAATAGTAGTACCTACTCAGCAGGTTGTTAGGAGAATTAAATGGGTCAATATTGTAAAGTACTTCAAACAGTACAGAATGATGCTTAGCATAACATAAGGGCGATATAAATGTCACCTATTATTATCATATTTCCATCTTGTCCAGGATCTCATTTCCTTACAGGCTCTACTCAGGGAAGATGCTCATATTTGAATAAAAAATTAGCTTTGGGAATGGATGTGTAAATAAAAGTACAAGTTACGAAGTTGATTAATGTTTTCTTCCACTGTGGCTATATCTCCAATTTTGTTTCCGAACAAATACATAAATCAAGTACAATAAATATGTTTCTCCATTCCACTTATACGAGGTTTCTAAACTAGTCCAACTCACAGAAGCAGAGAGTAGAATGCTTAATACCAGGGAAGGGGGAAGGGAAAATGGGAAGTTGCTGTTCAATGTCTATAAAGTCTCAGTTATACAAGATGAAAAAGTTCTGGAGATCTGCTGTACAACATTGTGCCTATAGTTAACAATATGCTATCATGCACTTAAAAATGTTAAGAGGCTAGATCTCATGTAAAATGTTCTTAACACACACACATACAAAGAAAGAAATAGCAAAGATGTAGGAGATAGTGTTGGAAAGTCTATCTCCTTGATGGGATTCAGATAAATGAAAAATCTGAGCGGTCCAATGTGGTTGCAAATATACAAGAATTTGCGCTGTCTCCTTTATCAGAGTATATTTGAATGAGTCAGCCATTGAATATCTCACAAAGTGTTATCATTGGTTAACATGCCTTTTAAACTAAAAATTATCATATGTGAATGAACATTTGACGGCAATAAGTCGGACTATTTGAAACTGGGACTTCATTTTCTAAAAAATAAAAAAAAAGATCATTATACGTATTCCTATGGTGCACAGATCTCTTATTTATAATATACAGGAAATAATTTTAGAAGGAGAAAATGGAATTATCTAATCCAGAATTTCTCAGTATTGAATCCATAGTGGTTTCTATGTATGCTAAAGATACTGGAACAGTCTTAAAAACAAGCAGACTTTTAAGAAATGCATGACTGCTCAGTCTTTGTAATGATAAAATTTTGCCTAATATATTTGACTACTTGAAAAAAAGGGTTATGGTGATAAATTTCATATCCTACCTAGCTTTTAGAGATTAAAAACAAAACTAATCAAGGTTATAGGATTTATAATTTCCAAAGTACTCTTGCATATAATATTTCATTGTATGCTTAGGGCACTTTACTAACATATTATTATTAGCCCCATTTTACAGGTAAGGATTTTGAGGTTCAGAATGTTGAAATGAATTGTTCTGAAATAAACTGCCAATGAACCTGGACTGAAATCCAGGTTTTCAGTCCTTGAAGCCCATGGAAAGTTCCTCTTCTCCAACGACAGATAAACAATTTTCAAAGAACCCTAATATATTTCCTTCATACCAGAAAACTATCTTTCTATCATAACTCAAAGGATACCTCAGGATATTGAAAACTGTTGTGAGCATTTATTATTGTGGAACATTACTGCAAAACGGCTCTGGCCATTAGAATTTTCTGGTAGTGTACATGCTGGATAAATGGAAACTTTCCCAAGGTAAATAATAATTTGTGATTAGAGACTAGAAACAAAGCTGATTTTATTATTTAACCATCCTAGTAAGTTCTGAGGGAGAAATGATTGTGTAACAGATGTGTGCATGTGTGTGTGGAGTTCTGCTTGTAAACTTGATGTTAGAACTGATGCAGGAGAGGTACAGCAGAATGGGTCCCAGAAGGAAATCATATGTCTGTTTAACAGAAAACTTCAAAGTCAGTAAATCTTGTTTTTGCTTCAGAAATTGTCAGTGTAAATCCAGTTGCTGACCCACACATAGAAATGGTCTGTACGCTGTGGCTTTGTAGATGCTTTCAAAATTCCTCCTCCTAAGATTACCAGATAAATATAATATGATTTTTGTTTCTATTACAAGGTAATTGGAGTCCTAATGGTCCCCTTTCATCCTCTCCTTCCCTGATTGCAG